TTTTTTTTTTTAACTGAAATCGATGATAATCAAAAAAATTGCTATTCCCTGATTAGCGTAACATTCAGAATTGACTATAAGAAATAGTTCGTCCGTCTCATTTTAGTTTAACCCAATGAGAGGTCCGTTTGCTTCTCATTAAATTTTCAAGATGAAAAATATGGAAAATCGAATTTATAAGAAATTGAGTTTTTGCTTTTTTCTCATAAAGACTGGACAGAAATGGTAAAAATTGACCACGCCTACCTAATATTGTAGTGCATTAAAATTTAAGTTTTTTTTTTTCCAGTACCTTTATAACGCGCAGGAGCAAACTTCAAAATTCCCACAAAGTGTATAAATTTTGTTTGCCCACCTGCCCAACTGTGTAGGATCTGTGGTAAATATTCTCCCATTCGTAACAATGAAAGTATCGCCTACAAAATCGTTTTCCGCGTTTTTTGCTTCTTACCCGTAAAGTACAACACATATTCAATATAAATTTGCACCTTTATTTTGAAAATAGAAAAAAAATTGGCAATGCCAATCCAAGATTACAGAGATGCAAATGCAATTAGTTCGTTATATTAACAATATTTTTTATATTTATTATTATGTCACGATGTGACTCACAGTCACGTAGAATTATGCGCAGGAAGGAACCAGTCGAAGACAAAATTGTATACAGAGAGGCGTTAAGCAAACTATTTCGGAACAGTAACCACAGAATTATCGTTGAGAGGGAACTTGTCGCCCACGGCATTTTGTTTTAAAAGATATCGCTGAATTCGTAACCAATACGAACTGCGTTTGCTTAATAGAGTTAAATTACCGATCATATATAAACCATATCTTGCTCTGGATAATGCGACACAAATACGATGAGGATCCTTAAGAAAACCAATTGTTTTTCCAGCACGCACCAACGAAAGTAAGACGATATCACTTTCTAAGCCTTGATATGCGTCTATTGTGCAAGCTTTCACAAACTTCAAATTCTTATCCCGAAGAAGCTAAAACATATATTTTAAACGAATTAAAAATTCATATTAACGTATGATTTTTACAGAAAATATATATACATCTTACTTCGTTTCTTATGCGATTTATTTGATTAGAATATGGACTGAGTATGACGAAACTTTCTGCGGAATATTCACCAACTTTTATAAGATATTGCGCTAATTTGATAATTTCATCAATTTCAAACACATTATACATAGAGGTTTCTTTTCCGTCTGTGTTTTTTTCTTTATGGGCATGCGACATAAAGTAAACATTCTGCGCCATTCCTCTGACGGAGGGATATAAAGACACGCTATCATCGTTATCTAATTTTTTGTAGATTGTCGGTGTTAAAAGACTCGCTATATCGATACGCGTACGATATTGAGTTGTTAAAACTAGTGGTTGCTTCTGCAAAATAAAAAGTCTTTCAAATAATGATAGGCATAATGGATATTTTTTGCAGTAGGGTCTTAATTGTTGGTGATCGCCTATCATAATCACATGTTGGGTGTACGGTGTTAAAGAAGACACAACATGGGATTCTAAAATTTCGGCAGCTTCTTCAAATATAACTGAAAATTAAATCATAACGTTTAAATAAAAACAGTAAAATATCGGATTAAAAAAGTTACGAACGCACCGATTGAACTTCTTAATAAGTGAAATAAAAAATTATTTCTTGCCGCAAACGTTGTTGTCATCGCTACGATAAACTTTTTTCTTGCAACATAATATTGAAATAAAGTTCGTAAGGTCTGAATTTTCTCATACGTTTTTGTTAACTGGTTATAGGCATTTCTGATGTCTTCATAGTTATCATGCGTACCATCAAATTCTGACTGCTTAATTATCACTATTTGAAATTGCTTTCTAAATTCTTCCTTAAGTATGTACCATAATTTATTTAGGCGATAACTGTTCTTTTCGTAATCAACATTGCGTGCGAGAAATTTCTCCACTTCAGGGCTACGAGAATTACTACCAAAACGTACTATGCTATCTGTATGCTCTGATAATTTCATTATAAATTTATCTAACGTTTGATTAGTAAAATTTAATAAAATGATCGGTGTATGGGCAGTTTTTATAAGAGTTTTCACCAAGTGAATGGCGAGATGAGTTTTACCAGTTCCGGGAGGCCCTTGTATCAGTGTTAGCTCCCGGCCCAGGGCTGTCACAAATGCTTTCCTTTGCGATTCATTCAAATTAAATAATTTTTCTGGCACTTGCTTTGCTAAAGGTTGCAAACCAATGCCATCACAATCATATATCTTTTTCTCATCTAGATAAGCAGGTGGTTGCGATTCAGTCTGCAAAATACGTATAACATATTTTCTTAAAATTATATCAAATTCTCTATTAAATTTTATTATGTTATATTACCTCGCCAAATACTATATACTTTTGAAAAGGAAAATTTCGATCGTCACTGTTTTTTAGGTAACTATAGGCGTTTTTATAAGCTTCATAAAAGACGGGCGTTTCGAACATCAACAATTTTGTTTGGAAAATATTACCAATATTGTACTGTTTTACAATTTCAATGGCAAGCTATTAAGTAATAAAATAAAAGATTAAGGAGCGTTTTTGTAAGTAAGAGCATTTCGTTAATAGTATTTACATAGCCATTCCATAAGCAATCTTCATGTGTATATATAACAGTAGCCATAATAAGATTATCGAATTCCGTATTTGTGCTAAAACATAATAGGGAGCCGATTTTAATACGCGATAACTGGTCATATAAACTACGCGGTACTTTGCATTCATTGCATGATCTCTCGGAGCCCAATGCATCCACAAACACGAATTCATGATGATCAGCTTCGAAATATTTTTCATTTAAAATAATTGAAACTTCCTTGTAAAGGTGGGGTCCCTTTTTTTTTTTTAGATTGCTTCCATCTTTTTTCATCTGATGAACATATTTATGTAAAGGATCTTTAAACATCTCTCTTAGCCATTGCATGTGTTTCTCAATGTAATCGCGAACATCTTTGAACTTTGTGAATTCTCCCCTATAGGGTTTCTTCGGCGTATATGGCTCCATGAGTTCTTCCAATGTAGGATAAAACTGAAATTAGATATATAAATGTAAATATTTTTTGGGTTTGTTTCTTTTAAAGGCACTCTCATCAACTTTAATACCTCGCATTTCGGTTGATCCATTATTGCAGCGTCGTTTTCATTTAAAATGTACGTTAGGTTCTTGTTGAAGTCTATAGAAATTTGCATACTAGTTATTGACGGATTATCACTCGTTTCCACTATCTTGCACAAATCTTTTACCAAGTTAACACCCTCCGCGTTCAGCAAGCCTGCTTTAAAAGATTGCATTAGGAGTGTTTGGACATTTTCTAAAAATTCTTTCATCTCTTTAGTATGTGAAGACCATAATTCTTTATAAAATTTGCTGAACAATTTCTTGATCAACAAACGAAAGTGTTCCATTAGAATATTATTTGACATAAAACTTTCTAATAACTCCTCTTGAAAACCAGGCAATGCCATTTGACATATAGCCGCCAAGATGTATGTATAAAGTAGCACTCTTTCTTGAGTATCATTCGGAGCAATCTGATCCTTATAGAAATTTGGTACTGTATCGTTGGTGCGTGCATAAAGAAACATATCTATACCGTTCATGGTGCTCATTTTTCGCAATACAAATATTTTTACTTTACTTGGTCCGACATCAACATCTGCAGCCACTTTGTATTCATCTAAATAAACATAAATATAAAATTTGCATTACTCTTTTGATAAAAAATTAATTGAAATATTTGTAGCCACTAACGAAAAATGTTGCAGCTACTTACCTATAACTCTTACTGATTGAAGAATATTTTATATGGAATTGGAATATGAGTTCGATTGAAAGAGGAGTTTAGTTCCTAAAACTTGGTTGATATATAACTTAAAGAGGAGTTTTTTTTCTTAACATATGAAAACTAGAGTCAGACTATACGACATCAGTTGTATATGTCAAAAGCGAGCCGCTTTTAATCTATATGACAGAGAACGGATTGTACACGATAGGAATCAGATGGTATACATATTCGCTAAAATCGAAAAAAACATTTGCAGAAACTTTCAATAAATCACATCACCTACCGCATATGATTACATTCGTAATATCTTGGTTCTTGGAGATCTTTAAGATCTGGTCTGTGCTTTCATAAGGTTATATTTTGGACAGCTCAAACGTAACAAGAAACATAAACGAAGAAATGAATGAAAAGTTTTTGACGGAGCCAATTATAATAATACTTGGAAGTATTCTTCTTTATACCTTTTACAACAGGTGGTATGTATTCTTCATTTTGTTCAATATCTTTTTTCTTTAAAGTTTTCTGCACGTCCTTTAATAAATCGTCATCGTCTTTATTATACCAATCTGTATCTGAACCAGAATGATCATTAATATCAATAGCGGTAGACGCCGCTAGATATTCTTCAGCTTCCTTATTCTCTTCTTTTTTTCCACCATCCTTTTCTCTGAAGCCATCTGACTTTAAGTCAGAGACACTTTCGGTTGTGATTTTTCCTTTCCCCTTTTTCTTCTTCCTCTTTGAATTCAAATTATCCTTAACACTTCCTTTGATAGATGCCGGTAAGGGTTTCTTAGTTGTCTCATTCTTTATTTTTGAAGCTGTTCTAATTGCATTTTTTTCATAATATGCTTGTCTCTTTCGTGCGCTTTTACTTAATACATTAACATTTTTTGTTGTAGATGGTTTCTCGTTCCCTTTGTTTTTTAAAGTTTTGTTTTCTCCATCGCTTAATAAATGGTCGTCACTTTTGTTAAGCCATTCTGCACATAAGTCAAAACCGTTCTCTGTTGCGATTGGAATTGCGTCCGACGCAATATGATTATCTTTAACATATGTTGTGATAGATGACGGTAAATATTCTTCAGTTTCTTCGTTCCCTTTATTATTCAAAGTTTTTTGTTCTTCAAACATTTTTGTTGTTTGAAAGTTATTCCATCTTATTTTTATCAAATATTAATGGTGGCTAAAAGTTATACACGTTGCTAATTACGAAAATAATTTTTTATCTGCAAAATTTTTGTTTGTATTTGCACTTTTTTCTGCTGTAATAACGGTGTAAACACTGGCACAATCCATAATATATGCGTTTAACGCAATTGTTGTTTGCTTGACATTGGTTTATATAAAGGGCAGAAAAAAGCATTTCTAAGATAACATATCGTTAATATTCAAGTATTTTATAATTTCAAAATAATATGTGAATATTGAACATTGCTAATTATTGTTGCAATTAACTGTAAATATTATAATGTTCGTTACTACTAACATGCGCGAAACATTTTTCGCTCAAGAAAACTGATTTCTTGCTTACTGCATTGCTTTACTGCAACAATGCGTGATGAAAATGCATTTATTCTGCCTGGCGCTTTATAATTTCCTTTTATTCTATTATCCTACCGCATTTGTATCTTTTCATAAAAAGATATTGAGTTTTTCTAAATTTGCCTTTTATTGATTTCAATTTCACTTTGCCATTTTTTTATTTTCATATGTAGTCAGACATCGCGCTGCATTATATTGTAATTCATAGAGTCTTGTTACCGCTTAGGTCCCCACTTTGAATTTCCCTCCACAATCTCGAAAGAACAGACTCTTAAAATGAACTAAAATACATTAGACAAAGAGCACAATCTCCTAATAAGTTGAAATATTATGCTCAAGCAGCACAAGTTCTAATGGCAAGAGAAAAAAGCGAAACGTGTAGAAACTCTTCAGATTTGTGTTTCTGTTTCCTATTTCTTTCACTCCTTTTTTGGCAAGAAAAGCCAGGAAGCTGATCACCTAGCTGAAAGTTAGTTTACATGTTTATTTGCAGTCATTTTTGCCAAAGAGCTGAATATAACAACGACAGTTCAATTTTTCATATATGATTATCCCCCGGAAGTTTCCTACAGAACAAACATACTTTTACAATAACAATGCCAGCAGCAACTCAATAGTGCCAAGTAATCCTCTAATGCTGCCAAGTATACGTCTCAGATAATTAAGAAAAAGAGAGACAGACAGGCAGAGAGAATATTGAAAATGAAGAAATCTCCTTTCAGAAAACTCCGAGAGTCACTTATTTATATTCATTTTCCATGTTAAATTGGACATGTTAAATTTCTGGTTTTATTGCGATTTTCATTAATTGCATATTATTTAATATTTATCAGAAACTTTTTTCTTTTGTTAGGAAATCTTTATGAAACAGGAAATGCAAAAAAAAAACATTAAAAATGTCGTTTAATTTCGACTTTTATAACTCCTTTCAAAACTTGCATTTTTCAAATTTTAATTGTTATTTAACTTTGACCATTTTGATTATTTTAATGCAGCAAGAATCCAAAAATTCCTGGTTTCTTGCATATTCAATCTTAAATTTAACAACGAAAAGGAGAATGCAGATATTTTTTAAAATTATACGAAAAAAATGTTAAGTTTATTAACTCGATAACATAAAAATTATATTCACTACCATTGTTAGAAAATATTTTACATTTTTTGAGAGAAGATTTCTTTGCTTTCAATACTCTCGCTCTTTCGATACTCTGAGAGAATTACTTGGCAGCATGTATAGGGGATTTATAGGGGATTATTTGGTACTATTGAGGTATTGCTGGCATTGTTGTTGTAAAAGTTTACTCGCTCCGAGAGGAGTGTGGAAAAGAGAGAAAGAAATAGGAGAGAATGAAATTGCTTACACGAATATGATGAATATAAATCTAAACATTTTCGTGATTTTTTCCAGTCTCTTGTCTCTTTTAAGTGCGAAGTGTGAACGGTGGGCGATATATAATGCGCGTGTATATGCTGTAAATTTTTTAAAATTTCTTAAATATCTATTTATGCGATAATATACGTAAAAATAATAAATTTTGATTAGGAATAAACGCTAAAAACGTAGTTGATTCCGCATAAAATTATATGCACGCTTGTGCGAAAATTTATTGTGGTGAATTAGAAGAGATTTATCGATTTTCTTTCCGTAGAAAATTTACGAGCACGGTTGTGAATATTATTAATTTCCATTAAATAAATTTTAATCAACTATTAATTATTTTGGATAAATATTTTATTTAGCGAAAAAGATCCTGATAAATTTTTAAAAAAAAGTTGTTTTGTCTGTGAAGAAAAATAAAAGGAATAAATAAAAATAACAGCGAATGTTTTTTTTTTGTTGTCTGTAAGCATAACAACAATAACAACGCAAAAAAAAAAAACAAACAAAAGAAAAATGAAAGAGAAAAATGCAAAAAAACTTCATAAAGCACATTAAAAGTAAAAGTGGAAAAAATAACGTGAAAAATCTACACTCTCTACAAAAGCCAAAGTCAATAAATAATTGAGTAAAATATAATCAAAAGATGTTTGTATATGCCATGAGATAATATACTACAATTTTGTGAGCAATGAAATCGCGAAAATTTAACTCTTTCCTTAAATAGTTTAAATTGAAGTTCATTACCTACGATTTATATCTAAGAGAATAAGAATAGCAGCAACAACAGCAGCAGCATTAGCAGTGAGACAGTAACAAAATGTGGATACCAACCAACAACAAATACGGTGTCGGTAAGTGGCTACATTGACTTGTTTACACAATGTATGTTTAAATGCTATTCAGTAGTATGAACGTGTGTAATAACATCATCATCAATTACCGACTTTGTTTCTTCTCCTTTCATACATATATATATATATTTATATATATATATATATTCACATATCTATATATTTCTCAAGTGTATATAAAATCGTTTAATGCGGTTTTCTTTAGAAAATTCATTTAATGTTTTTTTTTTAATTTTTTGCATTTGTTTATGGACGTCTTCCGGAAAAACGGAAAATTTTATATGAGTAAATAAATGAAAAATAAAAATGTGCAAAATATCATCCAACCCCTATGCTTATTGCTTTTGATCACATTTCTTTCTTATTTTGCATGAATCACTTGGCATTAATTCTTGGTCACACGTAGTTTTCATGTTCCCTCTAGCATTTTTTGGAAAATTTCATGCGTGTATAGGTGTGTGTATTTCTCTTTTTGGTTTTTTTTTTTTTTTGGATAACATCCCAATTATTGACACAACCATCCCTTGTATGTACATAAAAGTCTGCATCTGTTTACTAATGTCTACCCACGATGAGTTTATCGCATAGCATGTCGATCCTTACTTTCCTAGAAATTGTTTTACAGTTTCTTTACATACGCTATTGAACTTTTACAATCAATGCAGTAACGAATATGACGAGATGCACATACTAATCTTCTTTCCTCTCTTTCTTATAGAATGTGTTCTCCGTTTACGCCATGATTATATTTACGGTTTTCCATTAGATTTCTCATCCAATAGTAATATGATCCTTTCGCGTAGATATTAGACCTCCTTCTTTGCCAACTATGCTTGTAAAGAATGAATTAAGCAGACATTAGTCTTCTAATAAGCGTCGTATTTTTGTTTAATGGCATTATTGAAACGCAAAAGGACAGCGTTTTGGACAAACTATTACGATTAGATAGCAAATCAGGAAATTCTATATATATTAATTTTCACTATTGAGTTCCTCTTTTAGAAACGCGATATTGCTTTCATTGATAACAAGCGTGTGTGCGTTGTTCACACCGAGGAAAAAATCAAATTTTATCGTAGAGGACTTTTACTTTACAACTGTAATTAGGATCTATGGAGCTGACTCTTCTTTGTCATAATCATGCATTCCGTGTATACTAAGGTAAGTCCAACCTTACAAAAAAGTCGCCATGACGTAGACTTAAAGGTAGCGCAAAAACAACTACGGATCGAAGGAAAAGGCTTCGTAGCAAGGATTGGCAAAATTCATTTTTCATTAACGTGTCTTCCTCCATTTGAAAGCGGCTTCAAAGCACGTTTCACTTTATCTTGTCTTTGAAGAAATTATGGCTCCTGCATATAGCTTCGATTAAATTAACCTTTGCCTATGTTGAGATGAAGTACTTTTGCACCCCCTACTGGGAAAAGGTCTTACATTCATTGCCTTATTCGTTATATTTATGAATAAAGAACACGTAGTATAGTACTTACGGAATTTGCTTGAAATTCTTTGCTTCTCTTCTGACATAATTACGATTTTCTGTCCGTTCATAAATATAAGTCATAAAAAGTCATATTTTCCAAAAAAAAGAAAAATAATAACTGAGAAGAGAGGAAACATTGAATGAAATTGAACGCTTATGAACTACTCTTATGCTAAGCGAAATTATAAGAAAGAAAAGAAATGTACAGTAGATTATCACCATTTAATTTGCCATCACAACGTATATATAACGTAATTAATTTTCTGTTAAATTACAATAATTTGTGTGATAAAGCAGCAATTCATCAATTCGATGAAAGATTTCATTTTACTACTCGATACGGCAGGAGGGAAATTATATTTCGCTTCGATCAAATAGTTTTATTGTGATTGCTTTCTTTAATAGATTATGTCCATTGTATTGTACCTTTTAAGCTTGAAAGACAAATAATATTTAATTACAAGTTGAAGCAAAGGGTTCATAAGTAAAGAAGAAAAAAAAAGGTCGAAAAATATTTATTAGAAATATTGCAATGTTATGCACGAAAATATGGGACCGTGTTTGTTGTTGTTTGCAAAAAAATATAAAGGGAGCGTACAAGGTGAGAATACGCTTAACCGCGAAAATTCTCTAATGACGAATTACTTGTTAAGAAATGCTCTGAGGATCGCAACTCAGCACCGGGCGTAAACCTGGAAAGTCAATAGTGAATAGTAAAAGGCTCCCAAATGGCTTTGGTATCGTTCCAGAAGGCATTGGCTTTAGAGCAAGGCGAAGGAGGCGAGTGGAAGCGTTAAAACGAAAGATTTAAGATAGCAATTTGAAAAAAACGGGATTCCTAATGAATAGTTTTCTCCTGATGACTTGTACGCCTTTTTTGAGAGGTACTACTGTGTCCAAAAATTTAAACCAATTAATATTTGCTTTTTTAAATTAATTTATTACTCAAAATCCGCCTGAATAACTGAGTAAGGCTAAGGATTTTGACGAACAACTTCATGATCGTAGGTTCGAAACTCAAGTGCGGGTAGAGTTTTCAATAAAGCGGTACAGTCTCAGATAATGGATGCTAATGTTTTTTTAAGCCTTTAGTCCTAGAATTTATAATAATTATAATAATGATAATAACACAATATTCCAAAGCTATTTCACTGTCGTCTAAGCAATCCTCGAACTCAAATACAATTCCCTGTTAAGAGTTTCGAGCGGTGGAGAGAATTCTCATAGTGCATAACGCCACTATAATTGAAGGGAACTTTAAACGAATTTGGCGCAGTTTTTTCGGTCTTGGATAAACTTTTACGCGATTGTTGGTCGACTGATCGATTCTCTTCGGGTCGTACGCGTCGCAGTTCCAATCCTTATCGCATTTCATTCAGCAAACAAAATGTAAAGCAACTTCTTTGCTCAACGGTAATAACCTTTCACACAGACATCTGTCATAGTGATACCAATTTAGAAAAAAATATTTATAATTTTCGATGTATCCATGCAATTTAACTTGGCCAATAGGCCTCACTTTTTGGTCAACGTATCATTTGTTTTTAAGTAGTTTGCACTTTTTCGCTAAAAATGAAGTGCAGCTTATGGTACTTCTTTTAGGTCAAAAAATTCGCTACATCATAGATGGTGATGTTTAATAACCTTTGCTGAAGCTTAGGATGTATCTAGCAGTTTTTAGAATTTACCGCCAAGACAACGGAAACGGAAAATTTACAAAAAAAGGATAAATGCTTTTAAGATTGTAGTCCTGCTTGAAAACGCTGAACATATCGATGAACAGATAAATTCATCGTATCGATAATTTGGGGCTTGGGATACATTCTTTTTGTAATACCATAATGTTATAAGCCACACAACTTTTGGCTGGTAATGTACATTTATAAGAATGTATGTAATATCCAAGGACCAACGTTTTTTATACCAATCGAATTGATATCATTTTTTTGGATCGATCTAGTAATTTCTTTTCACTTACCCCTATACCACAATGTCGACTTTATGTCGACTCAGGAATTGTTGTCAGAAATACTCGACGTAGGAGGAGCTAAGTACATTTCCCTCTCTATCTGTCCTCTTTGATGGGTGTTTATGAGATTTTACTGCAGATCACAATTTTCCAAATGCTTTGATAAAATTTGTTACATACCTTTGATCCGAACCAATAGCGAGAGTAATAAATTCGTTGAACCGTTTTTTTTTTTCATTGGCAAGTATAGCGATCTACTTTGAAAAAAGTTCAATATTCGTTGTTTCTTGATAAAAATTATGACTTTGTAAAGCTGGTATGGGATGGGGCGGGAGCAAGGTCTAATTCTTCATTTTATTTTGATCTGCTGAGTTTGAACGGTATAAGTCGATTTTTGGAATTTCTTTCCCTATAACGATTGTCATCAATTCAATGTTTGATTATGTGAAAACAACAAATAAATTCTGGTATTAAGTAGTGATAAGAAGTTAGGCGAAGGGTTTGGCCTTGTCTTATGGGTGGGGGTTCCTAACTCGCTTGCATTTTAAATTACGGCGGTCGTAGGGACATTTCATAACAAATTTAACGGAACGTCTCAATATTATCTCATCAAAAGCAAAAATCGAATCATTGTATTATGTTGATGATGATCATGATGATGATGATGATATGCTCGAAATCTAATATCAATTGGTAGCATAAGGTCAAATAAGAATGTGTTTTTTTTTTTTTTTTTAAACAAGGCGTCGATGTGTACTAAAAAGTTCTATATATAAACTCTTTTTGATATTTTTCATATTTCGCTTTTAATTTCTTGTCCGCAAGTTAAACGCGGACAATAAAACAAAGAGCAATTGAATGCAAAATTTTATTGTTTTAGTTTAAATGGATTTCAAGAGAAGAATAATGAAAATAGAAGTTAGTTTGGAGAGATAAACAAAAATTGAAAAATATTACAAAGAAAAAAAAAAAAAAAAAGAGAAAACAATGAGCCAAACATCAAAACAACGTAGAAATGAAAACACAAAAATGTAACTACGCTCGGTTCGAAACGAATTTTTGTGTCCACAAAAAACAGTTCAGTTTAGATAGAATCATAATATGTGAGGTATTGTTGTCATAAGATAAAATGCTTAAGGCATAAATAAACCGCAACATTCGTAACATAACTTATTCAAATGCTTTAGTCGACTTTTTACTACTAGGCAACGGAATTGAGAAGTGATTCCGGCGTGTGCGATCATCCGTATTGTGTATAGAACCTTCGTTGTCCTTTGGAAACTGGATCAATGCAATTTATGTTAAGAAGTAAATTTTGGAATTTCTTCTTCCTTTTTTTTTTCCAATTATAATTGACCTTCGACTTCAAATAAAAGGAGAAAAAAATTAAGAATAAATTTCTTATTGAGGCAATAGTTAAGATCATACGTAGTAAGATTGATATCTTATTTTCATCAATATTTTATTATTATAAAATTTAGCCAGAGAAATAAATTTCAAGACTAAAGTCTAGAAACAAAAAGCGTCTAAGGCTATTGATTTTATTGA